CCTGATGAATTATAATAAATTCTATAATAAATTCTATTTAATGGATCATGTGTCTGATAAGTCGTTTCTATAAAATTAATTTCGGAAAATTCACAATCAAATATTTTAATAAATGTTCTCGTTACAATTTGGACAATAAACCTTACAGAAACATGCAACTTTTGTTTAATAAATACATTATTATATTATATATTTTATTTTATTATAATCTTAAAGATTCTTTACAGAAACAAGCACAAATTTGTTTAATAGATATTATATATATTATTTTACAGATTTTGCATACCTAATTTATACACTTGAGTACAAATAGATAGTCAAATTCGTACAAGCTGACAGTCAAATTAGTATAGTTGCATAAATTAATACACTGATTAAATCAGGATATCTCATAATCTAATAATTATAATTCTATGGTTTTAGTACTATTAGATTTATCTCAATAAGATGAATCTAATGGTACCAAAATCATAAGATTATAATTACTAGACCATGAGATATCATAATTTAATCAGAATATTAATTTGTATAACTACTAATTTGACTGTCCAAATATATAAAATTTGACTGTTAGCTTGTATGAATTTGCATGTCTACTTGTACAAAATTAACTGTTTGAATATATGAACGTATACAAAGCCTGTATTATCTTATTTAAGATTATTTTATTATAATCTATTATAATAAGATTGTTATACGATTATTATACGATTATCTTAAGATATAAGATTATTAGAAAAGTATCATAAATTCGTTGTAAACGATTATAAAATAATAAAGTAATGAAACAAAATATGCAGGTTTCTGTAAAGAAATCAAATTTCATACGTATTCAAAAAATAATAGATGGCATTAAAGATTTCGAACGAGAAAAACTTTTACTGCAGTATTAAAATAATAAATATATTTTAAATATAATTTGAGCGAATTCGGTTCAAGATTTGAAACAATAATCAAATAAGTTCTTGAATGAATAATTTAAATAAAAAATAAAATTTTCATTATATCTTTTTCGATAATTTCGTGATTTTGTCTTACAGATTGAATTTTTCATTGTTTACCGGGCTCGGCCCTGACCAGAGACATATACGATACGTACGTATTTAGTGTCGCAGAGTTGATTCTGGTAAATAATAAACAATAAACTTGAAAGCCCGAATTTTTATCATAATTGCAGGATCAACTGTTCAAGTCCAATAAGGTTTTTCATCAGTATTACCAATATACGTACAGTACAAAGGATCCGGATATTTACCAAATTAAATCGGAAGGTTTAAAAACCTTTTCAGTATAATATAGATTATCATGACCGAAAAATGGCTTATTTTGGAAAGAATAAGTAACCTCTCTAATCTGATCTCTGATTTCCTTTTTTAAAAAACAATGTGGCGAATGCAAATTTAGATGACAAAGTATGACAAATTTAGGTGATAATTATTGTGGCTATGTGTGACACATTGTATTTTTTTTTATCGGCCGTGTATATCACATAAATGATACGTACTGCAGAGCAACTGACCATAGTAATTCATTATGATCAGTTACTTTCATATAAAGGGAAAGTTGATATATTATATATACACGTATAGATTAGTCTAAGTGTTTTAATTTTATGCCAAAGAAAGACATGCAAATTAATTAATAAAAGAAATTTACTTATATAAAGACCTTACTTCGTATCGATAATTTCTTTACGTGTTAAAGGATAATTATTCTTTCGAACTCGTTAATTATTTATGAAACGATAAATTCACAATAAGAACATATTTATTTTATAGGTTTTAATTGTAAGATTTCCTAACTATCGCTATTTTATAATTATCTAAAAATTAAGCTTTCAATATGCATAGACTGGTTCTGAATAATTGCTATTTCGTTTTTAGCTATCTCTCCTTACCGCCTTTCTTATCTTTCGAATCTTCAATTCATGTTGTTCCTATTTTCAACTTCTTGCCTGCTCTTTTCTTCATCCTTCTCGCGATACTTGCAGCGAAAATTCTTTATTATGTAATTTATCATACATACATCTCTCCACTTTCAAAAATTCCTGGCCCTGCATTTTCTTCGGTTACCGAAATTTTAGTTTCATTAAAAAGACCAGAAGGTCGTGTATTTGAATGGTTTTATTCATTACATTTGAAGTATGGTAATGTTGTTAGGGTTGGTCCCAAATTCATCCTATTTGATGATTTAGAGGCTATAAAATTTATTTTAAAAGACAGTGTAAGTTTTTAACTCCATCTTATTAAAAATATACGATAAAAAAAAAGTACGCGCATTTTATTAAAAATAATTATTTTTCTTAATAGGATATGCCAAAAACTCCATCTATTGCAGGAATTCGAGCTCACTACAACTTGCCAACTTTATTTTCTGCCACGTACGTTTTTTTAAAACTTGTTCAAGTTTGTGTCATGTGATTTATTTTAATCTATCTATTTTTATATATTATGAAATAATTATTATCTAGTGATAAGACTTTTCACAAACAACGCGTAGGCATCTTTTTTAAACAGTATCTTTGTGAATAACATCAAACTTTTATTATATGCTATAACAATTAAACAATTTCTTTTTTTTTAATGATTTAACAATTCCAGAAACGCATCTTATCGCCAGCTTTCTCTATAAAATACGTAGCGTCACTTGAACCATTAATTCAATCCTGCGTAAAGTCATTAATCAAAAAAATCGATTCACTTTCAAAACTTTCACCTAAATCTTCACACTTATCAAACTCGACATTTAATCAATTTAATGATGATAAACCAGTAATAAACCTTTATCAATTGGTACAATTTTGTGCTTTGGATATAATTGGTGAAACGGCTTTCGGTGGATCATTTAACATGGTTGAAACAGGAAGTCATCCATTACCTATGAAAATACTTGATGAGATGAAAAGACGGGTCATGTGCCATACGTTCCCTTATTTTAAAATGCTTTTTAAAAAGGATCCTTGGTGTGATGAGGTAGATGATATTTAAAATATAAAATTAATGTATAACTTTAACAATTTTTTTTTTCTTTATTAACATTATTTTTTTTTTATTGTTATCAAGTTTATCTCAAAAATGATAAAAAATAGAATTGAGCAAAACTTAAAAACAACAAAAAAACGTATAGATATTTTACAAATTCTACTTAACAACCATAGTCCATTGAAACAATCCTCACCAAATACACCTATTGACATAACCGATGGTAAAACAATGAGTAACTTTGAGATACTAGATCAAACTATGGAATTTTTAATAGGAGGTAGTGATACAAGTGCGTTCACTATCAATATGGCAATTATCATGTTACTCCAAAATCCCGAGAAATTGAAAAATTTACGAATAGAATTGGAATCCGCGTTTCCTATATTACGAAATCGTGTAATATCGAGTGAACATGAGGATGACCTATTTTTACCATCCCATGATATTTTAAAATCTCTTAAATATTTGAATGCAGTAATAGATGAAACTTTACGACTATTTCCAGTTACATTAGGTGGTATAATGCGACAAACCACTAAAGATACTATAATTTCCAATTATTTAATCCCCAAAGATACCATAGTTTCTGCATCGGTATGGAGACTTCATCGATCTAAACAAATTTGGGGTCAAGATGTTGATGAGTTTGTACCTGAACGATGGTTTGATTTAAATCCAAAGATAAGAAATGATGCTTATTATCCTTTTGGTAGTGGTTCTCGATTATGTATAGGAAATAATTTTGCTATGATGGAAATAAGAATTATGCTAAGTTCGTTGATAGGAAATTTTAATTTCTTTTTCAGAAAAGATGCAGATTTACAGATTGTACAATTTATTACCCCATCGTTGAGGAGTAAAAAATTTGAAGTCGAAGTTACTCGACTACGTGAACGTAAAAGTAATAACACAACTAACGCATGATTAGTCATTGCTATTAAAATATGTGATATATTGTTTGTACAGTACGTACGTACATATTTTGTAAATCTTTTAAATAGAAATAATAGAAATAGTATTTAACTTTTGTTTCTAACAATGTATTAATTCAAATATGCTTGTATTAATAAAGTTTTTATATATATGGTTTATTTTAAAATTTGCCAATTTTTTAGCTCTTAAAAAAACAAATTACCTTCAATAATTTTACTATATACTACAGTATTAGAATTACATCAAAATCTTACTTAGAAATACTTAAAATAATTTTCCTAATAAAAAATTTTTTAATTTAAAATAATAATATAAAATATTATTAATTTTGTATAATTTGTATATACGTACGTACGTAGTATCCTCTACTTTAATGGTTAAAAAGTTGTTGGTTGAGATTACAAATTATTAATCACGGTATTTATGTCCCTTGGCTTGGAATTGATGCGTTAATTAATATCCCTTACCT